TACTAATGCCATGATTATTCTCAATGAATCCTTCTTTGATACTGGAGAGAAGGTTTCATGGTAATCAATGCCTTCCCTTTGAGTAAAAACCATGGCTACAAGTCTGGCTTTATATCGTTTGATATTACCAGATGAGTCTCTTTTAGTTTTAAAGACCCACTTGGAACCTATGGTAGAGGATCCCTTTGGTAATTCGACGAGATCTCAGACTTTTTTTTTAGCCATAGATTCTAACTCTTCTTTCATGGAATCATACCAAAGTGTGGAGTTTTCTCCACTCATGGATTGTGAAAACGAGCATGGATCATCTTTTAGTCCAATATCATAATCAGAATCTTGGAGATATACAACATAGTCACTAGAAATTGCCGGTTTTCAAACTCTTGAGGATTTTCTCACTCCAGCTGGTTCAGACACTTCTTCAGTGGGTTCAGGTAAAGCGGGTTGATCTTCATGTGGCTCCTCAAGTGGTGGTAGATCTTGAACTGTTGTTATTCAGACAATTCATGAGAATTTTTCTGAGCAACATTCAAGTTCCCAATAAATAAAGGTACCACAGGTGGTTCCCTTATTTCTTCCAATTCTACCCTTTGGGTCAAACCACTCCCACTCTCTTCATGGTCCTCAAGAAATTTAGCGTTTTTGGCCTCAATAATTTTAGGAGAATGAGAAGGACAATAAAACCTAAACCCCTTAGAGTTAATCGCATAGCCTATAACATAACTGCTTATTGTTCTTTCATCCAACTTTTTTGTGTGTGGGTTATAAACCCTCACTTCATCTGGACATCCCCAAACGTGTAAATGATCTGAACTAGGTTTCCATCCTTTCTATCACTCAAAAGGTGTCTTGGGGACAGCCTTGGATGGACCCTATTTAAAATATATACAGCGGTTTCTAAGGCTTCACTTCGTAAGGATAAAGGTAAACTTGATTTGCTGATCATGCTTCTTACCATGTCCATTAATGTCCAGTTCCTTCTTTATGCCACACCATTTTGTTGTGGTGTTCCTGGTATGGTATATTGAGCAATTATACCTTTACTTTCAAGGAACTCAGCAAATGGATCCTTAACTTGTCATTTATCTGTGTACCTACCATAATATTCTCCATCCCTATCAGATCTTATAATTTTGATCTGAGCACCAGTTTGTTTCTCTACTTCTGTTTTGTAAACTTTTAAAGCATCAAGTGCTTTTGATTTGTTAAACAGAAAATAGAGATATATATATCTCGAATAGTCATCAATAAATGAGATAAAATATCTCTCACCATTCAAGCAAGGGGTAGGAAAAGGTCTATAAATGTCTATATATATGATCTCTAGCAATTGAGAACTCTTTTTGGCACCTTTAGTGGATTTGTTGGTCTGCTTACCTTTTATGCAATCCACACAAGTGCCAAAGTAAAAAAAAATCAAGAGGTTTTAGAACTCCATCATTAACCAACCTTTTGACTCTTTCGATAGAGATGTGTCCCAATCTTTTGTGCCAAAGACTTGATGAGTTATCATTGATACTACATCTCTTTGTGCCAATTTCTTTGTCATGCAAGGTTAAAACATTGCATTCAAATGTGGGGTCTGTCACGACCCAAAATCCACTAAGGGCCGTGATGGCGCCGGACACCATTGTCAGGCAAGCCAACACTAAATAACCAGTAACTTCTCTTTTGAGATATTTCTAAATTCACTCCTTTTATAAATTTAAGCAATAAAGAGTAAATTTCACTGAATAAATAATAATATCTTTAACAATATCAAAATACTGACTAATCCCCTAGACATCCCAGATGCCGGTGTCACAAGTGCATGAGCAATTACTAAGAGAATCGAATAAAGTACAATCACCGTCCAGAATACAAATTGGACAGAAGTAAATACAATACGCTGAAAGAGATTATACTGGCTGCGGGTCGCCTCAAGAAATGCAGCTCACCTAGTCTCCGTATCATCCATGCTGCTACGCCTAGTAGGCCATTAGAAATACCTGTACCTATGCAACAAAATGCACAGCAAGTGTAGCATGAGTACGAAAATAACGTGTACTCAGTAAGTATCCCGTCTAATCTCGAAGAAGTAGAGACGAGAGGCCGACTTCGACACTTACTAGTGGTCCAATAATGATACACCAATAATTTAATAAATGGAGGATTTTTATAAAAATGGATGTAACTCAGTAGAATGAAGCAAGTAAACAATTCTTTCTTTTATAGGAAATTCCCAAATTCCTTTTCATCATTTATACATTTATTCTCAATCCGAGAAGAAACAATATCAACTTCAATAAATTTCAAGGCAAGCAATACAAGCATGCGCAACTCATGCCGAGGTCGTACGGCCCGATCCAACAATATATAAACTGTGCACTGCCAGAGGGTCGAATGGCGCGAACCATAGATGCATCTATTACCCTGCTCGCGAATCATACATGCGACGCAGGTACACATAGAAACACATACTCAAACAGTCAATCAAGACATTCATCGAGGAGACAATTATTCAAGGAGGTGTAATTTCCCTTTTAGAAGTCATGAAAGTGAAGTTTAACTCTTTTAGAAAATCATTTGCCACTTCGATATGATTTAAGCAATTTCAATTATCAATAAGGTTGCATTTATTACAAGTAAACCTGCTTTTGGGTCCTAGACTACCCGAACATAAGCATAATAGTAGCTACGAACGGACTCTCATCACCTCGTGCGTACATAGCCCCCACAATTAGCAGCACATATTCAATTAATTCACCTCTCTGAAGTTCCATAATCGACATTCCACGCCCTTCCGAAGATTTAAATTGATGCACAACGCTCCAAAACTAGCTAGTAATTATGCAAATCCATTAATACATGTTCAATTACTGATAATAATCCAATTTATAACAATTCCTAACCCCGATTGAAAAGTTGAAAAAATGCCCTCGAGCCCACGTGCCCGGATTCCAAAATTTTTCAAAGATAAAATTTACCCATAACCTCACGAACTCAAATATATAATTTACTCTCAGTTTCATGTCCAAAATCGTGGTAAAAATCCAAAATATAAATTTCTTGGTCTTCCACCAAGAACCCACAATTTTCACTAATTTTCATGCTCTAATCCATATATAATCCAAGTATTTAACTCAAAACTAGCATAAATTACTTACCTCATGCTTGATGGTGAAAATGGCACCTCAAAGTTGCTCCAAAATTCGGCTCCAATGGAGGAAATGGGGTTGAAATGAACCCAACCCCCGATTTAAAAGAACCTCTTTGCCTCCAGCATTTCCGCACCTGCGGTCACTTGACCGCTTCTGCGTTTCCGCAGGTGCGACTTACCAACCGCTTATGCGGTCCTCCTCCAAGCCCTCAACTTACGCATCTGCGCCTCTCCTTCCGCAGGTACGGTCCCGCATCTGCGGCAAAATGACCGCATCTGCGGTCCCAGCCTAGCCAACCCATTTTCGCTTCTGCGACACAAGGGCCGCTTCTGCTGCTCCGCACCTGCGGCCCAAGTCTCGCAGGTGCGGTTACACCAGCAGGCAGCAGCTTCAGCTCTTCTTCCAAATTCTAATTCGATCCGTTAACCACCTGGAATCCACCCGAGGCCCCTGGGACCCCAACCAATCATGCCAACCAGTCCCAAAACATAATGCGGACCTGCTCGAGGCCTCAAATCACATCAAACAACGCCAAAATCACGAATCACACCTCAAACAAACTTTATGAACTTTAGGACTTCCAACTTCTACATTCGATGCCGAAACCTATCAAATCACGTCCGATTGACCTCAAATTTTGCATACAAGTCATATTCGACATTACGGACCTACTCCAACTTTCGGAATCGGAATCCGACCTCGATATCAAAAAGTCCACTTCCGGTCAAACTTCTCAAAAACCTTCAAATTTCTATCTTTAGCCAAATGACTCCAAAACGACCTACAGACCTCCGGATTAATTTCCGATCGCGCTCCCAATACCAGAATCACCATACGGAGCTATTCCTAGACTCGGAATCCCAAACGGACATTGATAACACTAAAATGCACTCCAACCCAAATTTATGAAATTCTTCCAAAATGCTAACTTCCACAATAGGCGCCAAAACGCTCCCGGGTCAGCCCAAACCCGATCCGGGCATACGCCCAAGTCTGAAATCATCATACGAACCTGCTGGAACCTTCAAATCCCAATTCCTAGGTCGTTCGCTCAAAAATCCGATCTTAGTTAATTCTTTCAATTAAAGCTTTTGAAATGAGAATTCTCTTTCCAAACCAACTCCGAACTTCCTGGAATTCAATTCCGACCAAAATTACAAGTCATAATACTTGAAATGAAGCTGCTCATGGCCTCAAACTGCTGAACGACACGCTAGAGCTCAAAACGACCGGTCGGATCGTTACAGGGTCTAGCTCAAGTTTATATAAATTTCCATTCAAATTTCCAAAACCAATAACTTTATTATCTTTCAAAAGTTTCACAGAAGGATAATGAAAATTCAAATCATATCCACTAATAGATAGTCTTGAAAGAGAAATTAAATTTCTAGAATAGTCTGGAACATAAAAAGTATTTTTTAAATCTAAGTGAAAACTATTTTTCAAAATGAGCCTATAAGTCCCTACGTCTTCCACACGTGAACGCGTCCTATTGCTAGAATAGACGTATTGTTCACCTCCTATTGGCTTCCTCTGAGTTAGAAAGCCCTGCATGATTTTGGCAATGTGAATTATAGCACTAGAATCAATCCACCATGTATTATCAGGAACTTCAGTAAAACTAGATTCATAACATATAAAGGTAAAATTACCTTTCTTCTCAAGCCATTTCTTGTATTTCAGGCAATCCTTCTTCCAGTGTCCCTTCATCTTACAGGAACGTCAAGCCTCTTTGTCAAAGGTATTTTTCTTCTTCATGGGAATATTTTTGCCTTTCTCTTACCATGAGTCACCATATTAACACTTTCAGGTGTCTTATGCTTCAACCTCTCTTCTTCTTGAACACACATGGTCAAGAGTTCATTGATTGACCATATCCTTATGTGTGTTGTAAGAAATCTTGAACGGAACATATTCCGTAGGAAGTGAGTTGAGAATGAAATGCACAAGAAATGGTTCAGACATATCAACCTCAAGGGACTTGAGTTTAGCAGCAGTGTCTCTCATCTCCATAATGTGCTCTCGCACTGTACGACTTTTGTCGAAAGTCATACTTGAGAGCCTCTTCATAAGGGTGCTGGCCAATGCCTTGTCAGAGCTTACGAATTCTCTATCAATTGCCTCCATGTAAGCTTTGACTTTATCGCTATTAGGGATAGAACCCCTAATGCTTTGGATTATGTGGACTTTTATGAGCATCAAACTTAAGCGATTAGATCGCTCCCACCGCTCATAATTAGCCTTAGCCATTGACGTGCTTGATTTCGTGAAAATAGGTGGTTTTCACACGGAGTGCCAGGTCCAGATCCGAGCACCCTAAAGTGAGAAGGAATTTCTCTTTCCATTCAGTATAATTGTGTCACGACCCGGATTTCCCACCCTCGGGAGTCGTGATGACGCCTACTAGTGGAAGTTAGGCAAGCCAACCAACTAAACTATTTACCTTGTTTCCATTTTTAATCCGATAACAGTTAAGAGCCAACAATTAGATAACAACAGAATTGAATAAGCGGAAGGCTGCATTGTAAAGTTTTAATAATACTGCTAATACCAATCCATAACAAATCTACCCTAGACCGGTGACACAACTTCACAGACTGTGTAGGAGTACTACAAATAAAGGTCTGAAAGAAATAAATACAATACTGTCTCTGGAAATACATGAAAGAAACAGGAATAGTAGATAGAAGGAGACGCCAAGGCCTGCGAACGCCTGCAGGACTACCTTGGGTCGCCTGATGAACAAGAAACAACAATCTCACTGCGGTCCGAAGTCTATAGCATTGGGATCTGCACAAAAGAGTGCAGAGTGTAGTATCAGCACAACCGACCCCATGTGCTGGTAAGTGCCTAGCCTAACCACGGCGAAGTAGTGACGAGGCTAGGACCAGACCACCAAATAAACCTGTGTAGTTTAATCATATACATCGAAAAAGAAGAACAATAATGTACAGTTAAGCATGGGAGGGGGTAACATGCTGCGGGGACATCGAATAATAACAGAAGAACTACAAATAAATATGAGGATCACCACAGTTCAATTGAAAATAGGAAGGGGGAATTATGCTGCAGGGTACAACAAGTATCAACAGGAAACCAACAATTAAATATAGAGAAACCGTAACTCAGTTATCAATAACACTCTCTCACCAAAACAATACACGGCATCACCCTTCGTGTTTTAACACTCTCTCACCAAAATAATACACAACATCGCCCTTCGTGCTTTACACTCTTCCTCACCCAATCAACAATCACAAGGAAAATAGGGTAAGGGAATCTATAACATCGAAATAAAATCAAGTAACAACAGAAAATCAGTAAATAAACGTAAAGGACAATATAACTCAATTATCAGCAAGAATCAGGAAAATCAAGGACAAATGCACGTCACCCTTCGTGCTTTTACTCTCGTCCTCACCATAAGAATCAATATAAATTGCACGACATCACCCTTCGTGCTTTTACTCTCATCCTTACCATAAAATCAATATAATCGGCACGGAATTGTACATCGTGCGGCACGGCATCACCCTTCGTGCTTTATGCTCTTCCTCAAAAAATCATACACGGCATCACCCTTTGTGCTTTAACACTCTTCCTCACCCAAACAACAATCACAAGAAATAAGGGCAAGGAAATAAATGAAATCACAATAAAATCCCGGCAAGGGAACAATAGTACAACAATCAAATCCCGACAAGGGAAACAATATCAAAACAATAACATCCCGGCAAGGGAGACAATATCATGATTCTCTCTCTCCTTTCTTCTTTCACATTTACTTCACAACTCAATTCACAACTTGAGCCAATGCTCTACAATGTTCAACAATTCAATTCTCAACTTAAGCCAACGCTCTACCATGTTCAACAATTAAATTCTCAACTTGAGCCAACGCTCTACCATGTTCAATTAACAATAATACTTCCACAAGTCATATTCCTCAATAGAAATTATCATATAGAGCATGAACAATACGAAACAGAGTCACATTAATCATAGTATAAGACTCACGGGCATGCTTGACACCAACGTATAGATACTCGTCACCATGCCTATACGTCGTATTCAACAAATAACACATAGAAAATAGGACACAACTCCTAATCCCTAAAGCTATGGTTAGACCAAACACTTACCTCGATGCCACGAACACAATTCACGTCTCAATTATCGCTTACCCCTTGATTCCACCACCAATTCGCTCGTATCTAGTCACAAGTTACTTAATTACATCAATAAATGCTAGATGAATCAATTCTAATGCATGAAAATGAGTTTTCTAAAGTTTTACCCAAAAAGTCAAAAATCGCCCCCGGGCCCACATGATCAAAACCCGAGGTTCGAATCAAAACACAATTATCCATTCCCCCACGAACCCAAATATATAATTTATTTTGAAATTCGACCCCAAATCGAGGTCTAAATCCCAAATATATAGAAAGCCTAACTCTACCCAAATCCTTAATTTTCTACCCTTAAGAACATGATTTAAGCCTAGAAATCTAATGGGTGTTAATGGAAATTGAAGAAAATGAGTCTAAGATTATATACCTATGAATTGGTTACGGAATCCGACCTCAATTTAAGGTCTAACTCCCCAAATTTCAATATTCTTAGGTTTTACCCAAAATTCCCAATTCCACCATGAAAACACTAGATTCTAGGATGAAATCTTGTAAAAAGAAGTTAAGGAGTAAAGAAAATGAGTTAGAAATCACTTATCAATATTTTGGAGAAGAAAGGTTGTTTGAAAAATCGCCTCTTATGTTTTTGGGGTTTTGAAAAATAAAAAGTAACTGAAAATACCGTTTAAATATACCCTTCTCAGACCCCTTGTGCGGACCGCACAAAATCTAGTGCGGCCGCACAAAATCTAGTGTGGCCGCATAGCTCTCCATGTGGACTGCAGTGACATACTTTAGTATTTTGGCCATAACTTTCTCTACAGATGTCCAAATTGTGATTTCTTTACCTCTTTGGAAACTAGACACGAAGGGCTACAACTTTTATTTTTGAATCATCTCAACATTCCTTGTATATCAAAAGATATAGGCTTCCGAAGTCGGACCAATGAATCTGTGCGGACCGCACAAAATCGAGTGCGGCCGCACAGCCCCCACCACGGACAACACCAAAACCAGTGCGGTCAGCACTGGCGGGTTCAGAGATTTGCACTTCTCTAAACCTGCAACATCCATGTTTTAAGCCTAAGACATCCCGGGACCTACCCGAAACTTACCCGATCCCTCGGAACTCCAAACCAAGTGTGCATACTAACTCAAAGACATCATATGGACCTACTCGTGCGATCACATCATCAAAATAACATGTAAAATCATGAATTAAACCTCAAAACTCAACATTTTCATCAAGAAGAATCTCCAAAGAAATTAGAAGCGCCTATGATAGGCCTTCGTTCATTTTGTTTAAGAAGGCTGAAAGTTCATAACTCTTCAATCGGAAGTCCAACTCACGTCAAATAAACTCCGTTTTTTACCAAATTTCACAGTTATCTTTCAAATACTATAACAAGTTTGTACCGGGCTCCGAAACCAAAATAGGTGCCCGATAACAATGGTTTCAAACATTAATTCTTTTCTTCATTTTTTAGATAATTCAGTAAAACAATTTCTTTGAAAAATTTTCTAAGGCTTGGGACCTCGGAATTCATTTCCGGGCATACGCCCAAGTCCCATATTTTACTGTGGACCTCCCGGGATCGTCGGAACACGGATCCCGATCCGTTTGCTCAAAATATTGATCAAAGTCAACCATAATCAAATTTTTAACTCTAGAAATTTCTAATTCTCATATTTTCACATAGAAGGCTTTCCGGATATAGGTCTGGACCACGTACGCAAATAAAGGTGAGGTAAAAAAGAGGTTTTTAGACCTCGGAACACTGAATTTACTTGCAACACAAGTGATGACCTTTTGGGTCATCACAAATTGTCACCAGAAAGCATTGAAATTCGAGCATTCTCATTAAAAATAGCGGTAGGAAAAGCTGTAAATACTGCAAAGCAAGGATAAACATACATAAGCTATGAAGTACAATCCATCAAAGGTGAATCGCGTAAAATACCGATTCTAAGTAAATTCTAGACCCATCTGTGGGCATAGGTTGCAATCTATACATAGAATTTACTTTACTTTATTAGACTAGTAAACCAAAACATATAGAAATTAATCTATACATGTGGGCATAAGATAATTTTTAAACTTAAAGGTTTACTATCTCATTACAATTAATCTCACCAAAATGGTTACCTCCCTGTAGGGCCGGGTTACCATTTTAATGAGATAACTGGACTAAATAGATGTCATTATAATTTTAATCACTAAGCTTTATGTGATTAAGAAAAAACTTAATTTCTTTTATATCAAGTACTCAAGATGCCGTGGCTACTCCTAAGTACATCACATAAAAGAAAACTCAAAAATTGATATCTCATAATAATTAACCTTAATTTCAACTTAAGCAAAATATTGATTTGACTTCAAAATGATTACTCTTAATATAAGCATAACGCTATATTACCCCAAATGAAAGTAATCTTATAATCGATCAAAATTATGATACAATATTCCAAAAGAACCTGTTTTATAAAAATCTGTCTGATGTGTTCTACGGAAGAAGCATATATAACACAATTTACTAAGCAATTGGTGGCCAAGCCTCAGAGAAATCAAAGAGTTTCTGTCCTTAGATTTCAAAAGTAAGGCAAATTGAACTCATGCTTAGTTATATTAGTGCAACTAGTGATTCATACAGACATGTAATCTAGAATAAAATTACTGTAATCATAACTTCATATCTTCAGCAAACAATATGTATGGTAAAGTCACAGTGAGCATGATTCGACATTCATGTGCATCTATATCTCACATAAAACACATTATTGAATTACTCTAACAAAGACGAAAATGCCAACTAGACATATTAGGCAAAACGTTTTTACTGGAATTTTTCTACATATACTCGAAGCTTCTATTAATATCAGATTGAATCTTAATTCCAGTCAGCAATACTACTGAAGAAAGGATAAAACACGATTAGCATTCGGAAAAAAAATTCGTTTCAACAAATAGAAAACAATTACTATATAATTACGTTTGGCCTTTAATTGTCAAAAACAACAAGTAAGCATTACATCTTACCCCATTAAATTACCATGTTATTAACAGTTATGAAATCGAATCATACCAATCGGTAAAACGGAAATAGAGTGGGTTCTCAACTA